GAGATGAGGCCACGTGTAAATTGATCCAAAGGTCACCATTTGAATTGTAACACTATAAATACCCCCACCATGTAACACAATAGGGACTAATGCAATTTGGAAGAACAAACTGATTATTTGGAGCAACATCTCTCTCTTCAAACAGTGATTTTACAGCATATTTCCTACTACAAATCGTTCTTTATCGATTGATTTCTCATACAATCATATTACTTCATCTTTGTCGGTAGCCTGAACGGAAACGTCTCTTGCCTTTGAGCCACTCCCACGCTCTTTCCCTGGAGCCATCTTGACCGTTGATCGGCATTAGCGTGTTGGACCAGGCTCTCGTGTGCATGAGTGGACCCAGCATCTGTAGGCAATATTTTTTTGGGTCAACAAAATTTATCAATTAAATATATTTTATTAATTAAATATATTGATGTCACAATATTACATTTTATAGTCACAATTGCGTACTAGTTACAACCATAGAATATCACAGTCACACATTACAAATTTTATAGATCACAACTTATTTATCAATCGCACATTATGGTCAGGCATTTTTTCTCACATATTACAAATTTTGTAGGTCACAATTTATTTATCACTCACAAATTCTCAAATTAATAAATCATGAAGCATTTTTTAATTACAAATCACAAATTTTATAGGTCACAACTTATTTATGAGTCACAAATTATGAAAATTAATAGGTTACGCATTTTTCCTCAAACACAAATCACAAATTTTATAGATCACAATATATTTATCGATCGCAGATTTTCACGTAATATTTCTCAATTCAAATAACAAAATTTACATGTCACAATTTATTTCAAGATCAGAAATTATCAAATTAATAGATCACTACTTAATAAATTGCTCGTCATATTAAGTAGCAGTCTCACATTGGTCACAATTTGTGTATTTTATATGTAAAATATTGTTTACTGTCACAAATTAACCAATTTATTAATCACAATCACACATCATCAGTCATCACCATCACCATCACCATCACCATTTGGGACCACCGCCAACACAACCACCGCCAGAACCACACTCAACCACCTCAACATCTCTACCACACCACAACCAGCACCTCTACAAAAAAAAGGAAAAAAACAAAAAATCCCCAAACCTGTAACTGCCGCCACCAACCGCACCACAACCTCATATCCACCATTTTCTTCATCACAACCATCAGCACTACACCAAACAGATAAAAGAGAAAATGGAGGAGATGTGGGCGAAGAAATTAGATCATTGTTGTGCACGAAGCAGCGATCTATTCCCCACGAAGCAGCCAAGCAGCTTGTGTATCATTGCTGCACATGCGCAGTGAAGTTGGAGAATAGATCATCGTTGCGCACGAAACAACGATAATGGGCACTAATTGCTGCTGCTTCATGCATCGCAATGTCGCGTAAGCAGCGACAATGGGATGCCTCCGCGCATGAAGAGGCGATGTTGTGCCTATCTTCGCTCGACGCCACCGATCACTTGTTACCAATGGATGTTCGAAGGAGGAGATGTCGATGTGAAATGAAGCAGAAATCAAAGGAGAAGATGTGAATGAATTAGGGTTGGATGGGGTTGGATGGATTGGAGATGGTAGGTTAATTAATTTAATATTTAATATTATTAATATAAAAAATAAACTATGATTCAATTTTGGATAAAAAAATTTTAAACTTGATTTATGAAATTAAAAGTTGAAAAACATGGATGTATGTAATTTCCACTTGAATTTATACTTGAGGAAATTACATAAATCCAGGGGTTTGAAAATTAGAATTCAAAAATCAGGGATCAATTTTCATTATTCAAAAATCAGGTAATATATAAAAGCCATAACCCTAATTTTTCACTTACTCGCCTTCCTCTCGGTGTGATGATGTTGTAAAGGAAGGAGACCGGAGCCTCTTCGCGTGGAGGTGGAGCAACTGGGCTTTGAGGCGGTATCGGCAGAGCTTGAATCGCAGCGAGTTGGGGGCTGTAGCGTGACGTGGCAGAGGCTTCAACCACCCTCAATCCATTTTCGCCGGCCAGAATGAGCTCGAATCGCCGCGAGTTGCGACGTTATTTGGTGGTCTCTCTCCTTTGGTGGCGGTGTATTTAAGATTTTAGATGAAGACAGATGGTGGCCGAAATTTTTGAGGCGGTGGTGGTTTTTTTCTATAGGAACTTGAGGCAGCGTGGTGGTTTTGTTGGACTGATGGTGACTGAAATTTTTGTTGATGGTGGCGATAGAGGTGGTGGATCTGACAGTTTGGGTGATTTGTGTTGAATTTGGCAGTAATAGCAATGGTGGTTTGTAGTTGCAAATGGTGATTTGTTGGTGGTGGCGATGTGGTGTCGATGTTGGTGGCAACAGTGACGGGGATGGTAGTGGTTCTCCCGGTGGTGTTGATGACGGTGGTGTGTGACCACTTGACCAATTACTTGGTTACGTGTGACCAAGATTAAATTGTGACTTTAAAATTTGATAACTTGTGACTTGAAAAGTAATTTGAAATCAACAAATCTTGAAAGCTGTGACCCATAAATAAATTATGACATGTAATGTTTTTGATTTGTGATCAATAAAATAAATTGTGACCAGTAAAATTTTAATTTCTGACCTTAAAATAATTTGTGACTTATAAAAAGTTTGATAATATGTGACCAGTAAATAAATTGTGAACTATATTTATGTATATGTGACTATTATTATATTTAATTGATAATAAAAATACTTGAATTTTGAATTTTCAAACTATAAATCTGATTTGTGAATTGTTATAGACTTGGTTTATGATTTTTTTTTTTTTGCCCTTTATACTTGTCTATCAATTTGGATCGATTAAACAAGACATCCACTTGCACCTTGGAGGAAATTACACTAAACAAGGTATTTAGTTTTGTCTTTTAAAAAATCAGGTTTATACTTTATTTAATCAAAAATCAGGTTTTAATTTTTATCATTAATATTAATAAT